GGGCGGCCGCGGAGCGCCCACGAGGCGCCCACGGAGCACCGCCGGGCCGGCACCGGCGGCCACCGGGCGGCGGCCCAGATCCCCGCGGCAGCCCGCGCGGCGGCCACGGGCGCAGGCTGCCTGGTGCAAAGGCAGCTGCGTGGTGGAGGCTGCGCGGGCGCGAGCTGCGCGGCGCCCGGCGCGCGTGGCGCAGGCTGTGTGGCGCAAGCCGCGCGGCGCGGCCGGCCCAGCGAGGCCCTCGCGGGGCCCCCGCGGGCGGCCGCGGAGCGCCCACGAGGCGCCCACGGAGCACCGCCGGGCCGGCACCGGCGGCCACCGGGCGGCGGCCCAGATCCCCGCGGCAGCCCGCGCGGCGGCCACGGGCGGTCACCGGGCGGAGGCCTGAAGCTCAGGAAGGGAAAAAACACACAGACACAATTCATCGTCGCCTCCCCAGAAGATATGGGAAAATATGGGAAGTGGGGGGGAAGACAGAACCCCAGGAAAGTATAGGAAAATATGGGGGATATTGTTACTTGTGTGTATTTATTTGTGTGTGTCCTGGGGCCCCTTCAGGAGCTCCAGGCCAGTGATCGGGGGCGGAAGAGAGGGGGGGGAGGACGAGGGGGGGGGGGGGATATCATGGCGCGGGCCATGCTATGACCCCAGATCTCATGGCGCCTCGTCTTGATTCCCCCTGGCCCCCCCCCCCCCCCTTCGTTTTATTTCATGGCGCCTCGTCTTATTTCGTTGCGTCCCTGGCCCCCCCCCCCTCCCCGTGGGGCCGCGCACGTGCCGCCGGCCATGATTTGCACCCCCCCCCTCGTGGATGCCTCCCTCTTGGCCGCCCCCGAAGTGACTGAGAACTCAGGCAAGAGTGCAGACGTGCAAGCACCGTTCGGGCAATAGAGACATAGACAGTGGGGGTGACGATGATGCTTCTGCTGACGATGATGGTACCAAAGGTGGAGAAGGTATGTTAGTTATGATGATGATGACAGCGAAAGTGTTGTTTCAGCTGTTGTTGTTGCTGATGATGATGACGATGATGATGATACTGATGACGACGATAATGTTTCCGATGATGAAGATGCATAGTATTATGAATTTGAGTATGGCGAGAACGATGCTGCTGATGCTGACGGTGGTGATGATGATGATGATGATGATGATGATGATGATGATGATGATGATGATGATGATGACGACGTTACTGTTGATGTTGATGTTGACGATGGTGTTGTCGCTGTTGCTGATGATGATGATGATGATGATGATGATGATGATGCGTATGCTGATGATGATGGTGATGACTCATCATGGTGATGACGATGATGGTGGTGGTGGTCATGGTGGTGATGATGACGGATGGTGGTGATGATGATGATGACGATGATGATGATGATGCTGATGATGATGATGATGATGATGATGATGCTGATGATGATGATGATGATGATGGTGATGATGATGCCGGGGATGACGCGCCCCCTGCTAATTCTGTAGCCGCGCGCATTTCTCTGCGGACGCCTGTTCGTCTTACGAATGCCGATTTCTCCTGGCACTCCGCATTGTCGCTGCCTTCTTCTTCGTCGTCGTTAGCCACGCGCATGCTTTTCCCTCAACATGCTCTCCTCTGGTTGCCCTCAGTGGGGATGGGAGGGCGGGCAACAGGGAAGGAGCAGCGTGTGAAAGTGACTGGAGGAATGGGGCGAGGACCAGCGGCGGGGGGAAGGGAGGGAGGAGGAGGAGGAGGAGGAGGAGGAGGAGGTGGAGGAGAGAAAGCGGAGGAAGGACGATAAAGAGGGGGATGAGGAAGGACGAACAACAAGGAAATGATCATCGATGAGGAGGAGGAGGAGGAGCAGGAGGAGAAAGCGGAAGGGAAGAATAATGGAAGAATGATGGGAGGGAAGAAGATAGATAAGAGGAGGGACGGAGGGAGGGCGGAGGAGGCGGGGGGAGGAGGCGGGAGGGAGAGAGTGGAAGGAGGGTAGGGGCGGCGGAGAAGGGGAAACGAAGGCAGAAGGAGCAAACATATGGGTGTTTGTTGGCTTGGGGAGTGATAAAGGAATGACCATAATTAAGGGACGCGGAGGGCGTAGAGGCGGTGGTTGATCTCAGGCCCTCTCAAGTCACACCAAGCATCGCAAATCCTTGTACGGCACAATCGTCAACGTTCGCACGTGCGCGCACGCAGCGAGCTTCACCTCATCACAGCCGCTACCGCAAACCTCTTTTTTTCTGTATCTCACTTCGCAAGCCTGGAGTGCAGCTCGGAACATCAGGGTAGGCTCAGAAACTTGTCCCTTGTCTTATGAGCTCGTACTTCTGTCGCTGCTGAGCGTGGATGGGCGACACTTGGACAAGCAGATACTCTTTCTGTGCGAGCTGTGATGAGGAGGGCTACGTGTGAGGTGGCCCTCGAGATCGTGCAGCTGAAGTCCGACCAGCGTCTACATCCAACGGATTAGACTTCCTGTGCTGTGGCTGCAGGTGCTCCCAGACACCATCAGAGGAGGAGGAGGAGGAGGAGGAGGAGGAGCAGGAGCAGGAGGAGGAGGAGGAGGAGGAGGAGGAGGAGGAGGAGGAGGAGGATGCTTGTCGCATTCCTCTGCGTGCTGCGTCTATACAGAAGACACGTGCACAGCGAGCACGCCGCAGCATCCGCCTGCCCAACACGAGCGCGCACGGGGACCCTTTGCGTGGTGCGCGCCGTGGCGCTTCGCGCTTCGTCACGCCTGCGCGCGTGCGGCCGCTGCACCCGCTTTCTGTGCCCGTCGCTTCCTTCCCCTGCCCGGAATCTCGCGGCCTCGATTTGAGTCCATTTGGAACAGTCTCGCGTGCCCGTGGGCGTACCCGGAGGAGGAGGAGGAGGAGGAGGAGGAGGAGGAAGAGGAGGAGGAGGAGGAGGAGGAGGAGGAGGAGGAGGATCAGGGGGAGCGGGAAGATGAGGAGGAGGAGGAGGAAGAGGAGGAGGAGAGGGACGCGCTCGTGATCCACAGCGCTGGGGGGGTAAGCGACAATCGAAGTCGCGCCCAGCCGCCGCCTGCCGTGCCTCGCTCCCGCTGCGGGCCGTCTGTCTGGCTGCGCGGCTTCGCCCCGCGCGCCGGCAGAGGCGCGCGTGCCGGGTGCCGCGCGGCCCAGCCCGGGCACTGATGCAGCACTCCGTGGAACAGGCTGGCCCGATCCACGCTGATCGTTCCACGACTTGGAGCATGGCCCACCAGCCACGCTCATTCTGCATCGCGCCCGCCTCGCTGGCCTCCGGCGCTTCACGCGCACCTGCCGCCGTGCTGGCCAGATGTGCCCCTACTGCCCTTGCGAGTTCTGCAGCCGACCCTGACCTTGACCGTCCAGCAGCGTGCCTCCAGAGATCGTACCCAATTGTTTTTTCCTAACGACGGTGGTCTCGTCCCCTAGATTGCAGAATGAACACCAGTGTTTGTTTGCGCCGTAGTGCATGTGCTCGTCTGACAGGTCCGCGTGCACCAGACAGCGTGTACCACAATCCTTTTGGGCACATTCGCGCACAGTGCCTGCATGCACTGCGATGCCCGAATGCCCACAGCAGGGCTTGTGCTTGTGCTCTTGCACCACAGTGCCCGCACTGTGCCCCGCAGTGCTTGCAGTGCCTTCGCGCACGCCATAGTGCTTGTGCGCGCCACGGGGCTTGCGTGCGCATGGGTCTCTGTGCGCACACGAGAATGTCTATGTGCATCACCGCGCTCCTGTGCACGGGAATGTCCACAGAGCGCGCGTAAATCACAATGCGTGTTGATCTTCGTTGTGCGCCAAATTGGTCGGTTGGGAGAGATCGCTCTGGACTAGTCGGCCACGCGCTGCTCAACCAAACGTCTGGCATTGCGTTGCGCACATGCGCCGCCGTGCGCGCAATTAGATCGTCGCGCACCCAATCGTTGTCGTGCACAAGTATTGGGGTGATTGCGCAGGCAATGTGGGGCACTGCGGCGCACACAAAGAATGTAGCTGCGCAGGCATGGTGGCATGCGCAAGCGTTGGTGTTCTGTGGTGTTCGCGTACAGCGCGGTGCACACTAGCGCCGTGCACATGGTTGCACACAGGCAGTGTAGTGCAAACAAGAGTTGCGGCGCACGCATGCGCTGGGGTTGACAAATGCATTGCGACGCACACAAGCACTACTGCGTCGCGCATCCAAACATAGTGTGTGCACGCGTGAGTAAAACCAAGGCCATTCGCATCCGCAGCCGCCCCCCCATCAGAAAGAGCGGTTCCCAAATTATCAACGCCATCGCTGCAAGCACCATGTGAGTTAGTAGCACCGTCAGCAGATGGAGCGCCACTAGCAGCACTAGTCATTATTCCAATCGCAACAACAATCGCAATTTCATACTTCATCGCCGCAAGGGTTAGCATCTTCACGGCAAGCACCACCAACATGAGCGCAATCAAACAATTTATCCCAGTGCCACCCTACCTAGGAGTTGGAGCCTCCAGGAAAGCAGCATTAGTAAGAGCTGTAGACGCCGTCCTCTTGCTATATATACACACATGTATATATATAGCAGCAGCAATAGTGCATGCTGTGCTGCGCTATGCTATGCTAATGCTATGCTATGATATGCTATGCTATTCTATGCTATGCTATGCTATGCTATGCTATGCTATGCTGCGCAATGCTATGCTGGGCTAGGCTAGGCTATGCTATGCTGCGCTATGCTATGCTGCGCTATGCTATGGTATGCTATGCTATGCTATGATTTTGCTTTGCCTTCGCTTTTGCTTTTGCTTGGCACCCCGGTAGCGCAACTGGGGGAACCGCCCGTTTGCTTTTACCTTTGTTGTTGCTGTTGCTTGGCTCCCAGGGGGCGCAACTGGGGGAACCGCCCGGGGCGACCCCACTGCCCGGCCCCGTTAAGCAAACAGAGTAAGAACCCTTCTAGGCAGAGCCTAGGTAGGGAACAAGTCACCGCCAGCCTCACCACCGACGAAGCGAACCAAGTGATTTGGTAGATCCATGTGGGGGGGGGGCTTGCTAGTATACACATACTAGACTTCTGTCTCTCCACCTCTCTCTCTCTCTCTCTCTCTTTCTCTCCCTCTGCTTCTCGCTTCCTCTTCCTGCTCACCATCCTGTTCCTCGTCCGTCTCCACATCGTTCCTCTTTCGCCTCGCTGCTGTCCATCGGCTTCCTGCCTCCCCCCCCTCCTCTTCCTCGACTCTCCGCCGCTTCTTGCTTACAGCCGGGGTGCTGACGAAGGAACCCTTTTCATTGGGGAAGGGCTCCGTGTTCCTTAATTGTTTCGCAGTTTGCCTTAAGTTTTCCTTAGGTTTTCGATATGAAATCGACGTTTAACTTATGGGAAAAAGGGGCCTCGTTCCTTATTTAGGGTTCCTTTGGTCAACGCCCCGACTGTACCTTTCCGCTGCCCCCCTCCCAATTCTTCCTCCCGACGGGCCACCGCTGCTGGCCACGGGGCCGCGGCTTCGGCGGCTCGGCGAGCACATCGGGCTGTCCTTCCAGAGACGCAGGCGCGTTTTCCAGCAGCGCCCCTATCGGCATTCCGTATCGGCATCCGTCTCCTCCTGCCCCCTCTACCCCCCCCTCTCGTCCCGTCGTCGTCGTCCTCCTGCTCTCTCTCCGCCCTCATCCTCTTCCCTCCCCCTCGCTTCCGTGGCTGGCCCCACGCACCTGCCTGGAGTATGATCGGGTAGCCGCCTGGGGATGATAAGATTCCCTCCTCGTCCTCCCTCCTCCATGTCCTTCCTTTTTTCCTCTACCTCCTTCTCGTCATCTCCCTGCCTCGTCTCGTTCTCTGATTCCCCTCCCTCCCCCTCTTCCTCCTATTCCCTTCAGGCACATCGATTAGCGACGCCACCAGTGTGATATCCTCCTCTTCTTCCCCGTTTTCCCCTTCCTCCTCGTCCTCCTTCTCCTCCTCCTCCTTCTCCTCCTCCATGCCCTGTTTTTTTCTCATCCCCTCTCCACCTTTGTTTCCCCATCATCCTTCGTCATTTCATATTCCTCCTCATCCTTTTCTTTCTCCTCATCGTCGTTCTTCCTATCCTCCTGCTTGGAAGCGCCCTACAGTCACTGGTCTTAGCCGCCCATGGTAACGTAAGCAAGCGCGGAGAACCCTCAGGACTCTGCTGTCTGCATCCTCCCCGACGCCTTTCACCATTATCACTTTTCTAATGTGTTGGGGAACATCCGATAACACCAATGATATAGGACAACTGTGGAACACCATTGGGCGCATTTAAACCAACGTTTTGACCCTATTGTTCATGATCCCCCTGCTGCCCCTCGTCAACATCCTCCGCTTGCTCGCCCTTCTTTTCCTCCTCCTCAGTTTGTGGAAACACCAGAAAATCACGTATAACCCCACGCGTCACGAAAAGCATTGACATAAGCGACCCTAACTCATTCTTTTCCCTCCTCCTCTCCCCACTCCTCTTCCATCCCGTTTCGTGCACTTACCTCTCCGTCGCATTACCAGAGGCGTCGCCAGGGCGGGTTGAGCTCTTCGCCGGGAACTTCCTCACCTTCTGCGACCTTGAAGCCTGACGCTTTCCGGCGGCTACACTGCTGGAGGGCCAACCGTTTTGAGCATGGGGTGTTCGTATCGGCGCCGCGCACACTCGTTTTATTTAGAGCAGTTGCGGTGGTGGAGAGCACATTGTTTTCAACCTGGGGGTCCTGCTCCGACAACGCGCACGCACGTCTTACCGCTACATAGATGGAGAGCGTCCCGTTTTCAAAGCGAGGTTCTCGCCTTGACGCGCGCGCGCTGTCGGCCTAAACCATCCCCTGCAGTTGCCACAAATTCCATTCGTTTAGTTTTCAACATGGGGCTCCGGTCTTAGCGCCGCGAACACACTCTTCTTGACAACAGTATTGGGTAACCACACGGATGGAAGGCGGCCCCCTTTCAAATCAATGGAACTCTCGCTCGGGACTCCCTGCGCACGGATGGGCACACGGATGGAGGAGAACAGCTTTTTCATCAAAAGGGGGGGTTTCCGTTTGAGAGGCCGTGGTATACTGCAGCCAAAAATTCAGCATTGTACAACAGTCACACGGATGGAGGATGGTCTCCTGAGGTTTGAGGCGCTGCCTGAGCTCGCCAGGACAGGTTTTTCAACCAATGGCTCCAAGCCGAAAGCTCCGACCATGGGTTCCGCAGTTTCAGACAGCGGGTTCCCGCTTCCGGCTGACGCTGGCGAGTGCGGTGCGGATATTTTTTGATGCGATGCCGCAAATAGGTGTTTAGGCCGCCTGTTCTCTGGAGACTTGAAGCGGCGAGCGCAGTGCAATCTGAACCACTGGCTTCCCTGCGGATGGATGATGTTTCACCAATTGCATGCGTCACTGCGGAACCCGAAGATTTGAATTTTCGCGCGCCAAGCTCTTTCACAGCGTCGTTACTCTTGTCTGCTACGGCCAATCTGCGACGCAGCTGGCCTCATAGCAGTTCTGCACATTGGATGTCGCTCTCAAGAAATGCCGCGCAAGATTGCTGAATGTCAGGAGGGAAAAAAACACACAGACACAATTAATCCTCGATTCCCAGGAAAATATGCGAAAATATGGGAAGTGGGGGGGAAGACAAAAACCCAGAAAATATAGGAAAATATGGGGAATCATTTTATTTGTGTGTATTTATTTGTGTGTCCCAGTTTCCCTTCAGACTGGTTCGCTTCGATTGAAAAAATCTTGGAGGCCATCGGGCATCGCGCGAAAGACAGGCTGGGGGGTGCGCTCCAGCGGCGCCCCGCGCAGGTCTGGAGCCAGGTGCGACAGCTCCGTCGCGAGCGGCTATTTCGCACAATCGTCCCCCTCCCCCTCCCCCTCCTCCTCCTCCTCCTCCTCCTCCTCCTCCTCCTCCTCCTCCTCCTCCTCCTCCTCCTCCTCCTCCTCCTCCTCCTCCTCCTCCCTCCTCCTCCTCCTCCTCCTCCTCCTCCTCCTCCTCCTCCTCCTCCTTCTCCTTTTCCTTCTCCTCTCTGGATCTGCGCCGCTCGTCGCGCAGGTGGTCGCCGACTGGGCCCCGGCGGGCGCTTGCGAGGCTCTCCCGCCAGCCGTTCCTCGTCGGCGACGCGGGAAACCAAGGCAGCGATGGGCGGACTGACTGATTCTTGGACCGCCATGCTATCGATGTTCCTCAGTTCTGCTTTCCGGCGTTATTCCAGAGGCCATAACGACCTTTGTCGCCCAGCACAATCTCCCCGGGGGGGGGGCTTGAGATGCGCGCCCAGAGATGCTCGGCGCGTGTGGGAAAGACTCCACTGGAACGCGCTGGGAACACTCTTGTTTCCACAACGCATTTTCTGGCGGCGCAGGGTCTGGCGAACATTTGTGCTCGAGCCGCTCTCGTCGGGCCTCGTCACTTTTCGGTCCATCCAGTTTTCGCAATGGCCAGCTGGGCGGAGGCGCAGCGAGGCGAGTTCCTGCAATCTGTGGGCGAGCAGGCAGCGGCGCCAGAGGTTGCGACGGAGGAGGCGACGTTCTTGATGGATGTCTACTTTGTCCAGATGCGATAGAAACGTTGGGCTTCTTCCGGTGCGACGAGACTCCGGTGAAATTGTGCGGGCGTAACAACCTTCGTCATGCGGCGCAAGGCCCCGGGGGGGAGGTGGTTTGAGACGCGCGTGCCCGGAGATGTTCCGCGCGTTCCGGAATGGTTCCAGCGGAACGCGCTGGGATCTTTATCGTTTTCACCACGCATTTTCTTGCGGCGCCGGATCTGTCGACCATTTTTGCCCAAGCCGTTCTCGTCGCACCTCTTCACTTTTTGATCCATTCAGCTTTTCGCAATGGCCGGCAGGGCGGAGGCGCACTGGCGCGAGTTCCTGCAGTCCGTGGGCGAGCAGGCAGCGGCTCAAGAGGTTGCGGCGGAGGTGGGGGCGTTCTTGATGGATGTCTAGTCCTTCCCGATGCGACGAAGATGTTCAGTTTCTCCCGGTGCGACGAGACCCTTGGGAAATTGCGCGGGCATAACATCCTCCTCCTCATCATCGTTATCACCATCCTCATCCTGGTACTCATCATCATCCTCATCCTCATTCTCATCATCTTCTTCCTCCCCTCTTGGCCACACGGCCACGGGCGCAGCCTGCACGGCGCGCGTTGCGGGCGCGCGGGGAGGCGCCGTGCATTAGCGCGCGGGTCCGCGCACGGCGAAAGCGGCGCGGGCAGCGACGAGCGGCGGCGGCGACGACGTCGGCAACAACGAGCGGCGGCGGCGACGGTGGCGGCGGCGAGGGCGAAGGGGACGGCTACAACGACGGCGACGACTACAACGGCGGCGGCGGCGACAACGACGGCGGCGGTTCCGCGAGCCCGTCGCCGTGCAATGTGTTGGGGGGCGAGGCTGGTCGCTGTGCTATACCTCTTATATAGATGTATACCATCACATATATACAAATATACGTATACGTATGCATGCATGTATATGTATATATATATAAATGTGTGTGCATCGTGTATGTACGTATTTCATATACGTTTGTATGTAACATACACACGGTTGTATATGTACGCATGTGTATATATATATATGTATATGTATATATATATATATATTCACACACATGTGCATGTATGTATACGCATGTATCGCTCTTATACATATACCAGCACAGCTACACATACATATATATATATATATATATATATATGCGCAGGCATCTGCACATGTATCCATAGGCATGAATAGTTATAAGTACATCGGTACATACATACATGTATGCAAATCAACAATTGTACACACATGCGTGTGTACATGCACAGCCATACATGCATACACACATACATGCTCACATATACACGTACAATCATACATACATATATATATATATATATACATGCATTCACATGTCTACGTATATATATATATATATACATACACACATGCATACATGCATACATGCATACACGTATACAAACGTGCATATGTACGTTTTTTACACAAAACTGCTATATATATCTATAAATATGCATACACACATGCATACGGACATGCATACTTATTTTTTACATACCTACATAGCTATGACATTCCA